CCTTTAAAGGACCGTCAAAGTTATGGCCAGGCGATAAATATTCCGAGTGGAAAATAGCTACTTCTTTCGATATTTTTCGAATTAATTGAGAGGTCTAAGTAGGAAAAAAGAATCAAATGTGTGTATACAATTGAAAATGTCGTTAATAACAAAATTCACAAAGCCCGACTGGTTGAATCTGGTTTTAATCAAATAAGAAAAGTTGATTAATCTGAATCGTATTCGCGCGTGGTAAATACTGAATCATTCAGGTTATTATTTGCTTTAGCAGCAAAATTAGATTTTTATTGGTTAAATTTTTTGATATTTAAACTACATATTTATAGGGTGATATTGATGAAACTATATAGGTGGGGAAATACCTCCAGGGTTTAAAGATAAACTTGGTAAAAATAAAGTATTTGTCCTTTACCTCAATCTGGTAGAAATCTGCATATAAAGTTAAAAAATGAACTTAAAAAGATCACTCAACTTGCATTTGATAATTGAGTGTTTACTAAAATTAATGGTAATGATTTTTTCGCAATTTGTGTGTACTTAAATGATTTGACCCCATTTAACAAGATATATCTTTTGAACCAATCAAACATTTCAAAACTCTTTTAGTTTATGAAATTGTGATAAATAACCAGTTACAAAAGCAATGCCTGGTCTATTTGCTAAATATAAACGACGATTTCCTGATTATCCGTCTGATCTACTAAATCATCAGTGGAATTAAAACATGTATCCTCGCCTTTAGTTATGGAATTATTTACTTTGTTACAATTTTTTCATTAACGATTCAATGTAATGCGATGAATCAATGCCCTTCTTACTGAAAAGAATCATAAGTTCAAATGTTTGATTTAGTTTTGACGTGAATCAGGAATCAGGTGAACCGCATCCAGCTTCACCGACCTCATGTGTAGACGGCTAACCCTAAAAGTTTCCATGGTTTTCCTCTTCGCAGATGCTGGTTAGTTCAAATTACTTGATCTTCTGGATTGGATTTAAATTGACAAGGCGTTGAACGTAAGTAGTCCTAAAAAATAGAGTCGGCTGTTCAACGACGGTTATAAAATAAAATAAAAAATATGAAAACAGAAGCGCAAATGGAAAATCGTGAGAGCTGATGAAAAAATTATATGTTTTCGTTATTTTGTTTTCCTGTTTTTTAATATTGGTCCAATTTTATTTCTATCATAATTATGAACTCTCGAGACTTTTCTCAGTTTATATTTAAAATATTTTTATTAGCGTTGTTTAATGATCCTATTTAATTGAAAACAAAAGTTCTTTTGAAAAACTGCTTTATTTCAATATCAAAAAATATATATATATTAAATCAAGTTATTAAACAAAATCTTTACCACAAACGATTTTAAATTTGGTGAGTAGATTCAGTATTGATGTCTTGCTTTAAAAGCATATTTTAAAGTAATTTCCTAAACCAGTTTAAGGAATTCACTACATTTTTGAAAGTAATAGGGTAGCTAAACTCTTCATTGAAAAATAACTGTCATAAGCGAATAAAAACAGGTAAGCAATTCTCTATCGAATTTTTTTAACATATTCATCAGTACTTAAGTAAAAATTCTTATTATTTATATATTAAATTTACTGTGATTTTAACCAAAGATAAGCCTTATATTAAGCAAATTTACAGATTTGCGAATTAAAAACAGTTGAAAATTTTTTTTCCTACACGTTATTTCATCAGGTTATAAACAAATTTCATAAACCTGACCTTGAAACACTAAGATTAATTGAATAATGAAGCCAATGATATTCTCTTAGTATATTATGCATTCGACAAAACACCTCAAAAAACTTTTATTTGAGTTTTTTCTAAAACTTAACGAGAGCTATGGACACAAACACTTTATGTAAGAATTTCAAGAAGTAAGGATTTTACATATAATATTCAAATTAAAATAGTAAAATATACCAGAAAAATTTTAAATCCAATGTTTTCGTAAGTTAAAAGAAAACAGATACTATAAAGCGAAATCGCAAAAAACCCTTTCCATTTAATATTTTTTAAATACAAATTTCATATTCTTTAAAAAATATAAAATATTTTCTATAAATTTACTAAGATTTAAAGTTAAAGCAATACTGTGCCGTGTGTACATAAAAATATATTTAAATGAATAATAAATTATAAAAATGAAATTTTTAAACACCAAAATTTTTTGAATGTTAGATTGTAAGTTATTTCAAAGCATTTAAATAAAAAAACAACAACTTTTAAATACTATTTTTATTCTATATTCTGCACGTTCTATGTTTTCTACGTTCTGCTTCTACGTTTTTTTTAAACATATTGAGTATTTCTAATATTAAATTGCAGATTTTTTCTTTGTATTTATTTTTTTTAAAAAATAAAAGAAAATATAAAAATGATTTGCAAAATTTTTAAAAAAGAAATAAATTAAAACAAAGAAACTAATAAAATACTTTTTAATGCTTCATTACAATTCATTAATTTACGATTTTTCTAAGAAACGAAAACTGAAAAAAAAAAAAAACTTTACCATACTTAGCAGGAAAGCAGGGCTCGAAAAACCGCCCGTCCTCGGCGGTCAAAAATTCCCCGCGGACAAGGAATTTCTCGAATCCGACGTCCATTTTCAATTTTTGTTATCTTACAAGAGTCTACCGCCTCACCTCTAATCTAGAAATACTGCGCATGGTGGATCTCTGTCTGCGAGTACTGCAGCTGTTGAAAGGGGCTTTTCAGCAATGAAATTAGAAAAAAACACATTACTTACTGGTCTTAATAAATTGAGTTATTTTGAAAAACATTTTCAAGAGTTTCTTTAGTAAATAGCCTTTTTCATTTTAATATTTGAAGGTATACTCATAAAAAAATTAACTTATAATAGCTAAATTGACAAGGAGATGGTGAAAAGTTGCCAGCGATCGTTTCTAATAGATTTAAGAGGAGTGGCACATAAGTGATCCCCATGAGCGGGGTGAGAAAGTGCCACTAAGAAAAAATTAAATCTCCCCTCCATGATATCTTAGAATCATTTTTAGTATGTGAATTGAAAGCTGTGTAATTATGTTGCATTAAATAATCAACCCGATAGGTGAAAAATTAGAGGAAATATGACACGAAAACGTCAAAAAGTGGCACACCCCGTTTGACGGCGCATATTAAAGAAACTTTGAAATTCCAAATTTTAAGGTACTAAGTTTGTATACACAACTGGTTGAGAAACAAATTATATTTTCCCTCAGTTTTATTGAAAGTATATTTGGTAACTCTCATTTAAATTCATTCTTTATGGATATGTCGTCATATTTTAATTTTTCTCACAGAATTTGTTTTAAATGATTCAATCTAAAAAACTTACAGATGAACTAGGGGTTTTATAGCCGGTCGTAAGCTTTTACTGACATTTGGTTGTTCTTTCAAACATAGTATTTTATTTACTGTAATATATGTATGTCTACACAAAATGTAAAATTTTTGAAGCAAAATAACTTTTAAAAAACTTCAGTAAAATTTAAATGTCAAATTACTTTGGATTTACTCACTACGGTTATAGCTGTGATAAAAAGTAGAAAAATCATTTTAAAAGTGCTTCTTTTATATGGTTTGCTACTTCAAATTTATTCAATTTAAATTTGTAGCAAATTTTGATATGATATACACTCTATAACAAAAAAATCGATGCACCAAGGAGTTGTCCGATTGAAACGAAAATTGGTGGATGGGAATAACAATGTACAGAATAGTAAATGATTAAAATTTCAGAACAATTGAATAATTTATTGCAGAGTTACAGTAACAAGTTCAATAAGGTGTTGACCCGCGTCTAGCCTGGATATAAGCTGCCACACGGCGTGGCATAGACCGATAAAGCTTCCGGACGGTCTCTTGCGGTATTTCCTGCCAAATTCGATCCAATTGTCGAACTTGGTTATCAACATTCCGTGCCAGATGCCTGCGCCTTCCCATCATATCCCAGACATGCTCGATGGGAGAGAGATCTGGTAAGCCAAGGAAGAGTTTGAAAAGCTTGCAGACAGTTCATAGCAACACGCGCCGTATGTGGTCTGGCATTGTCCTGCTGAAAAACCAGCCAAGGGCGCTGCAAAAGGAACGGTAGCAAAACAGGTCTTAGGATGTCGTACCGTTGTGCAGTAAGTGTACCTCTAATGACGACCAAAGGGCTGTCAAAGGAAATGAGGTGCATAATAATCAACAATTATCTTGAATTGAAAGCATAAAGATAGCAGTGCAGGAAAATATTTTAAAATTAGGGACACAAAATTTTTTACAGAAAAACAATACCTTTATGACTTATTAATTTTATGATGACAACCAAGACAATATGAAAATGAATGAGAAAAAACGATCCTACCGCATTATTTTTCGTCCAATAAAAATGCATGAACAATGGAAAATTGTGACACAATCATTAGATTTTTTATATATAGTATAGCGTATCTACCACTACAAAAATACAATTCCAATACCCTAGTATATAAGACATGTTAACTTAATTCTATGTTGTGGCACCTTTTCATAGATAAAGGTCGACATTGTCGATAACACTCACCCCACATTGGTGATCTTTGGTCGAGATGTGAACTCTCCCACCTTGACAGAAACTCCCACGTCGATTTAAACACACCTACTTCGACGGATTCCCCATTGAGCAGTTGACTTGCTACTTGTGATGGCGACATTATCCACCTACTTGCTACTCAGTCTCGTTCACACACACTGTCAGCCTGTATACACTCGACTGCTAATGGCAACACAGGAGCGACTACTACCATGAACTCAATACTGCTCTCACGATCAACAGTGATCTTAAGACTGAAAAATACAGCTACTTTGCCTTACAGCAGCAAGTAAATTTTTTTTTTCTCTTGAAGGAAAAAAAATAAATAAATAACTGGCCATTTTTTTTTTATCTATACAAACATGTGGGTCAGTAAAAAAAAAAAAAAAAAAAAAAAAAAAAAAAAAAAAAAAAAAAAAAAAAGAAAGAAAGAAAGAAAAATTAATATAACTTTATTGATAAATTTATACAAAGACCAAAAAAATACTCAGATACAATTATAAGTAAACATAACATTGAGCACATTTATAGTTTTAAAAATTGTCGAAGCAAATATTCAGAATGCAACAGCTATAATTACATATATTAAAAACCAGACACGTCAGTAGGTTTTTTTTTATTTATTCCAAATACAAGTGTGCACTTCATTAAAAAAAGAACTCTAAATAATATAAGATTTCAAGACATTAAAAAGTTCATTATAACACTCAAAGATGACATTTTTTTTTAAATATAGATTGAAATACATAACTATGAAAGTGCTACCAAATAATATAATATATATATATAAGAAGGGCTTTCAAAAGGCCTTTTCTGATTACTTTTTCTTTTTGTTGCTTTCCTGAAAGGAAAAAAAAACAAACATTTTTTTTTAATACAAGGATAACACATTTTTCTTAACATAGACTAACTAAATTTAATTAAGTGCGCAAAGACCATCACCTCCCAGAAGAAAGGCCTTAGCTTGGATCAATTTAATAGTCCGACATAACAAGGTGTGTAGGTTTCAACATAAAATAAGCATAGAATCTAAATACAGTGTGTATCTGCTACACTTTAGATTTTCAAATCCATGACTTTTCAAGACTAATTCCAAGAATTTTTCATGACTTAACTAAGTTAATATTTTCTCCGACAAAAACACAACAAATTTAAAAAAGCATTATAATAACATTCATTCATTGAAATGATAGGTATAACCAAAACTGTTATACTTGGCATCTTCATATTTATAGATTTTAAATTTAAAAAATAATGTAAAGAAAGAGTTGAAGCAATAAAATAGCTGAAAAAAAAAATCTTTTTTTTCTGTATATTCTAAAGATACTTTTTTTGTTCATCAGAAAGAAACACTCCTGACTTTTCTGCTCTATTTTCCCTTCACAGAAGCTTAAAAGATAATTCGTTCTTATGTTTTTTCTTTCATTTTTCGAAAGAACACCATAATTTTTTGAGAACACCAAAAAAACATTTTATATTTTAATAAAATATAACATTAAAACATTCAAATGTGACGCATAATTTTTACAATTCACCAGAGTTGACAAGACTGAATGGATTAATCCACGGTTTAAACAGCCCTATCCAAAACCTATTCACTCAAATTATGTCACAATTTTAAAAATAAAAGGTTATTTTTTAAACAAGAAACAAAATGAAGACAAGTTTTTGTTTTATTAAAAAAAGTTTGTTATTATTTTTAATATTGCATTGTATATTCTTATGCAAAAACACAATTTATCAGTATTAAAAGCATATCAATTCATATTTAAAGGTATTTAAACTTAGTTATTCAATGAATTATGCAGCTTCAAAAGTTATAAATCTTTTCCTATAATTAAGTTAAAGCAAATTGTAAAAAAAAGTATCAAATATATATTAATCTATGTAATTATTATGCGTACAATGGTTACACATAAGATGTTTACCAATGTTCCTGGACACTTTAAGACAGTCAAGCCCACATTTCCTGTCCAAAACCAGTTTAGGACATCTAAAATCCTGGATACGTGATATCTAAATAAATTACTCTTTAGTTTTTCTTTGAACAAAATTTGCTTGGATTTATGGTTTATTTCTTAAACAAGATTTTGAATTGCTGATTTAAAAGTTCGTTGCATTTTTATTTTTAACAGTTTTAATCACAAAAGAGTTTAATTTAAAGTAATATTTAATTAAAAACTCAGAACAATATTAATAATCAATTTTTCACATAAAACTGAAAGCAAAATACAAGTTCTTAATAAATTTAACTCAGTTAAATTTTATTGCTTTTAAACAGCTATCTCTTGTTTAATTGTGTAAATTATCTTGTATTCTAAAAGTTAAGTAGTGTTTCACTCATAATTAACAAAATAATTCGTTAATATAAAAATTTAAATGTATAGTTTAATATTTTTCTGTGAAAATGATTTTTTTTTTTTGATACATGACATCTTAGAATCATTTTTAATATGTGAATTGAAAGCTAAGATGTGTAATTATGTTGCATTAAATATTCAACCTGATAGGTGAAAAATTAGAGGAAACATGACACGAAAATGTCAAAAAATGGCACATAGTCACCCCGTATATGTACATGCAGTAAATGTTTAACAGTAAACAGACTGTAATTCTGTTGTCAGTATGTTGCTTTCAGATTGAATTTGGTTGGCTTTCCTTTAAAAAAAAAGTTTTTAAATATAGAACATATGAAAATAAACAAGTGAAAAGCTAGGAGGGAACAGAATACTTTTTACTCAATTTCTAGTTTTTTTCCTTTAACTACCTTGACATTGTAAACTATTTAGATCAGTGGTTCCAAAACTTTTTTGACCCATGGATCCCTTTTTAGAGTCAAAACTTTCCCACGGATCCACAAGTGAAAAACTGCATATATGTACAGTATAAAAATTACAAATTAAAAAAAAAAACCATTTTGTTGAAGAACTACTTATTGAAATTATATCTTTTGATAAAATAAAAAAATTAATGACTTGGACGAACGTGATGAGATTTTAAGAGTATTTATGTCAGGCACAATATTTGTGGGCACTAATTTCTAATCATTTATTTATTTTACTTTTTTGTGATGAGGTTCATTACGGCACTGAAACTGAGAGAACAATATCCTCTTCCCAATTTTGTTCACACAGAAAAAGTTTTGCAACAAACGCAGTTTTGAGATTTTAATTTTGATTAAATTTAATTGTTCATCTAGTAGTTTCGTTAAGTTTGGCAAATGTACTGAAAATACATTCGCTGCAGCTTGTTTTAAGTTAGTCAGAAAACCTCCTACCATTGACGGAGCACCCTCAGTAGCTACAGAAATGATATTAGTCAAGGGTATAGCTTTCACCGTTCGCATCGCTTTCCAAACATTTAGCAAATTACAATTAGGGATGTAACGAATATTCAGCCACTATTCGGTATTCGGCCCTTTTGCCGAATATTCGGTCTAGCCGAATACAGAAGTTATTCGGCTGAATATGAATATCATTAGATATTTGGATGAATAAATTCATAATAATAAAGATTTTTAATGTGCTTTTAAATAATGTGTGATCAAATGTGCTTTTAAATATATTTAATCATGAAGAGTCACATTTCACTGCATTAATTATTAGAAAATCTAAAATTTACTCAATTTAAGTTGTATAATACATAAGTGTATTTAATAATGTTACATAAATAAAAACATTTTCTTGTTGCAAATTTATCATCATATGTATTTAACCAAGCATTGGAATCTTTTACATTAAAATACAAATATATATAGTTTGCTAAATAGAAGTGTGAATACTATCTGAATCGGCAATTAAAATTTATTTGTGATTCCTTTAATAATATATACTTATCAATAATATGCACTAGAAATATATGATTATATAATTATTTATTATAAATGTAAAACACTAGTTATCCATTTAATGGATGTCTTGATACTTAGAGAAACAAGCTACATGAGATATATGGTTTACAGGTATAAAAAATCATTTATCATTGTAAAGTCTGAAATTATGATGCAAGAACAATATTTTTTCAGCATTTATAGGAAGAAGTCTGTTTTGTTTGGTTTCATATATATTGCCAGCTTCAGAAAATAAACGCTCACTGTATACTGTACTTGCAGGAACTGAAAGATATTTTCTTGCTAAATTTGCAAGTCTTGGAAAGTTTTCAGCATTTGCTTTCCACCAATTAAGTGGACACTCCATCCTACCTATTAGAGGTTTATCAAAATAGGAATTTACCTCCAATAATTTACCCATTGAATTTTCTTCTGTATTTGTCGTGTTCTGCAATGACGAATGCTTTATTTCTGTAAAGCAATCCCAAAACGAAGAGGGTTTCTCCTCAGCGATTCTAACATCTGTAGCTGTTGTGTTGTTAACTGCACAATCGATGTCCATAGTTTCCAAAAATACTTTTAAAACAAAAGAATGAACTGGGAGAACTGGTTTCACAACAAACAATTTCATTCCTTCAGGCTTACTGACCAGTAGGGAGTCACAAACTTTCCACAATAAAACCTGCTTGACCCCCTTACTGACCTGTTTGACACTTACTAAGGGCTATCTCATTGTGAATTATGGGGGACAGTAAACAATATGAGGGGCTTGTTAACTTTGAAAGTAGGAGAAATGTTTCACTGGGTAGTAAGTAGAAGTGAAGAATATTTATATTTTAATGTAAATAACTTAACATCCTGAATTAAAGAAAATTAATCTGTTAATTGATTTTAAAAAATTGACATAAGTTTTTAGTTTTCTGGGTTTTAATAATTTTTCTGGCAAAAAAAAATAAATTTAAAAATACATTTAACAGTAGTAATGAGTTCTTATTTTAAATAAAATATATAAATTACAAGTATAATTAGTTAAAATATGCTATTATTAATTATTTAGATTTGTGAAAGCCTTATTTTAAATATTTTAATGCCAACAATATTACAAAAAATACATCCAGTTGTTAATTTTTTTTTTAAATATAGAAACAATTATACAAATGTTAATATATTTATTTCATTTTTAATTTCAAATTTGAAAATTATTTAATTACAAAATTAAAATTTCAAAAGTGAAACTTTTTATAAGTTCTTAATTTTCTGGGTTTTAATAATTTTTCTGACAAAAAAGAAAGTTAAGAATACATTTAACAGCAGTAATGAGTTCTTATTTTGAATAAAATAGCATATAAATTACAAGTATAACGATAACTAGAATATGCTATTATTAATTATTTAGATTTATAAAAGCCATATTGCCTTGTTATTGCAATCAAGATATTTAAATTATTACAAAAAATAAATCAAGTTGTTAAAAGTTTTTTAAATATACAAAGATTAAAAAAGCAATTTTGTTAATATTTATTTCATTTTTAATTTAAAATTTGAAAATTACTTTAATTACAAAATTACAATCAAAAGAGAAATTTTTAAAAAGTAAGTATTTGGCCACCGAATATTTGATTTTAAAAAATTGACATATAAGTTTAGTTTTCTGGGTTTTAATAATTTTTCTGGCAAAAAAAAAAATTTAAAAATACATTTAACAGTAGTAATGAGTTCTTATTTTAAATAAAATATATAAATTACAAGTATAATTAGTTAAAATATGCTATTATTAATTATTTAGATTTGTGAAAGCCTTATTGTTGGCATCAAAATATTTAAAATATTACAAAAAATACATCAAGTTAATTTTTTTTTTAAAATATAGAAAGTTTAAAAAAGCAAATGCTAATATTTATTTCATTTTTAATTTAAAATCAAAATTACAATCAAAAGAGAAATTTTTAAAAAGTAAGTATTCGGCCACCAAATATTTAAGCGAATTCTGTTGCATGATTAGCTTATAATTTTCATGTGAATATTGATGAGTACGAGGGAAATTGTAATTTGTGACTCGAAAGTTACTTAATTTAGAACAACTATGCGTAATTCATAAATCACTTTGATGAGCATTGCAAGCGTTAATTCTTCAATCCTTCTAATACCATATAAACTACTTGAATGAGAATTGTGATGCATGATTCTGAAATTACTTAAATACGTATCATGTTACATAATTCAGAAATAACTAATTGAAATCATAATGTGTGTTTGATAAATCATTTTAATTTGAATCATGATGTGTGATTTTCAAAATACCTTAATACGAATCCTGATGAGTAATTTGAAAATCATTAAGCAACATTGGATATATGCTTCATTAATCACTTTCATTTGAATGCCAATTCGTAGAACATTTTATATGAATTCCGATGCATAAATCAAAAATCAGTTTAATGTGAATCACGATTTTTATTCATAATTCATGATATCTAGAACTAAATTTCATTTATTAGCAGTAAAAAACTAAATGTTAATGATCTTTCTTATAAAAATTAAAAAAAATAAAAAAACAAATAGGATAGCAAAATTAACCTGTCATAATAATGAAGTTAACACATTGAACATATTTCTAAATCAATGAAACACTAGTTATCATTCAGAAACTATGACTACAAAAACTAAAATTTGGTAGAAATTTCAGCTTTCTAAACATCAGAGATGAACAATAATCTGGTGTGAAAAATTTTGTACCTTCCTTAACCTCTTTTCACTTCAGCAATAAAAATTGCATCTACTAGAATTTCTATAATTTTCGTTTGAAATTATTTATAAATTTTTTTACTGCTTTTTAGTAAGAAAGATAAGTATTTTAATTCCAGAAAAATAAAGCACTTTTTAAGTACCCTATGGCAGAATTCAAGGACTTTTCAGGGCCCTGATTTTTTCACCAAAATTCAAGGTTTTTCAAGTACCATGGGAACTCTGTTGGTTACAAACCACTTAATAATTATAAGCACCCACCTTTATGTATAATTTACTTAGGACGTAAAAATCGCTACTATTTTATTTATCTTAATTTCCATAATAATAAAAACCAATCACAATTTTATTATTTTATATTAAACCTCCCGCAGTCTTCCTGACGTTGTTCAGGGACCCCTAAATCAGTTTTTATTTTTCACGGACCCCTGGGGGTCCATATGGACCACTTTGGAAAACACTGATTTAGATACATACTTTATCGGAATCGTAGCCATTCATAACAACCAACCTAAACAAATAATTATCTTGCACTTTTAAACAATCCAAAATACTGAATTGTGTACAAAGAACTAAAGCAGGGTTTTGGACAGAGCATTTGTGTTTTACTGTCTTTAAGTGACCAAAACCTTGAACAGTGGTAAAAAGTAAAAATTCTATAAGTATATCCACTGTACACATAATAAAAATTTGATACTTTATATACATATTGTTTTAACTTATTAAAGGAAAATAATAAAATAGGAAAAGATTTAGAACTTTTGAAGTTCCACAATTCATTGAACAAAAGTGAATACCTTTATATACGAATAAATATGCTTTTAATACTGATAAATTATGTTTCTGCATAAGGATAAATAATGCAATATTAAAAACAATAATAAACTTTTTTAATAAAACAAAAACTTGTCTTCATTCTGTTGCTTGTTCAAAAATTAACATATTTTTTCACAATATTTCTTTTAAACAATTGTGACATAATTTGAGTGAATAGGTTTTGGACAGTGTGATAATGTTGATTATCACAAGTTTATTTTAATATTTGCTTTAACTTTGTTTTTTCTTAATTTGCTTTAATTTTGTTTTCTTAATTGGCTTTACTTTTATTATCTTAACTCTTAATTTATTATTTACGAGTTATTGCTCTTAACTTCATTTAACGTTCAGCTTATATTTAAATCATTTATCAATTTATAATGCACAGGTTTATTTACTGCATATTTTTTTAATTATTAACTTTTATAGATTTATTGTGTTTTATATTTTAATTATGCAATTGTAATTTATCTATAATTGTCTATTACTGTTTTTTTACTTTTTTTTCAGTCATGCACTGCCTTAAAGAAATTTTCCCCAGTCTTTTCCTTTACCAAGGGTAACTTGATACAATCTCCGCAATCTCTTCGGATGGGACCTCAGCTGACACCTGCGTGGGAGGATTTTGGACCCTTTTTTNCAAGATTTTGGTGTGGTTTTTAGTAATGTGAAAACGCCGATATACCTTGCAAAAAGGGTATCTTTTATGTTGAAGATTTATGCTACTTTTACGAGATAAATTGTGTACAATAAAAATGTGCATGTGAGCTGATGCAAAGTTTGTTAGTTGGTGAACCTTCTCTGTCTCTGATAGTCATAAGAGATAAATAAATGAATTTACCAAAGAAATGAATTTACATGACTCTTTATATGTGTTTTCCATAGTTATTGTGTATCGCTACAGATCGTGGTGTAATCGTCATATAGGGTGAGTAGCCATAATTTACTTAATAGTCAGCACAGATAATATTCAAACTTACAAGAATGTTATTTCCTTATATTTTCATATGCATCATTCATACTAATTGTTCTTGTTTATTAACTTATTTCTAAATCTTGACCCAATGGACCTATTGGGTTATTCGGTGTTCAACAACGCTGGACCACCACTATTCGGCCTACATCAACGCAATTTAACGTATAAATTTTAACTTTACCCTATTCATTTAAATATTAATTTGTTTCAAGTCCTTATGCATTCTTGTGGGTTTGCCTTGCCACACACACACAATTTTCATTGTATTTATTAGATCATGTACTTAAGTTAAGAATCAATTGTCTCAAGTTAGTGTTTTAGGCATTATTCTTTCATTAAGTCATTTAAGATTAACCTTGTTTTATTAATCTTAACTTTGATTAATTGTTTTAATTTCATAACTTGTTATTTTCAATTTTTAATTCCTTCATGACTTTAACTAACTTATATAAATTATTAAACTTTAAGAGACAGGACAGTTTAAACCCTGGATTAATCCATTTTGTCCTAAACTTTGCCAACTTAAGTCATATATTACGCTAAAACACTATGAAACAGAATGTTACAAAATTTCTGAAAAAAAAAAAAATCAAAGTTGTTGAAATGTATCATTTTCTAGGAGTGTGACACAAATAAATGAATTATAAACACAAGCAAATTAAAGAATTACTCACTTTATCAGTCAGAATGACAAGAAGATAACGGAATACTTGAATAAGATCAATAAACAAACAGATTGAATGCCTAAAATTTAAATACAAGGAGGATTACTTATGTAAGTATTATAATAATTTAGGGTTCTTACATTTAAAACATAGATTGAATTTAAAAAAAAAAAAAAAAACTCATAACAGTTTTAACAAAACTCCTGTGGATGTGCAGGATGCTACTGAATTCTTGAAGAAAGATTTTTCCTTTTGGAAGTAAAACATTTCAAACTTTCTTTTCCAAAAAAATTTTCAAAAGATTTTATCTTATTTTCAGAATTTTATTCAAAAGATGCCTTTCTCGCACATTGGAGTGGAAAAACAAGATTGTAATTATTTCATTCTGCAGAAATTTTCATTCATTGTTTTTTTTTTTGCAGTTATTGATTTCCACACAGTTTTTAAAATCCAATATTTTTAATCTGATATTACAACAACTGAATCTTGAAATGAAAACATACATTTGTAACCCCCTTTTAAACAGTTCGCCGTAGATTTTTTTCCAGGTAGTTAATGCAATGGGATTTTACTATTTGTTTTTCAATTTGATGAGGACTTACAAAAAAAGGAAATAATTAGTATGTCTTCCCAAAACAAGAATATCGCTTATAATATTAGAAAAAAAAATATCACCTATTAAATTACATTATTTTTTCCCTTTTGAAGTTTACGCTTCTGTTACTTTAAATTAGTAACAAGTATATTTGTTATTAATAAAAGTATCTTGCAGAGAGATATTAGTACTGGAGAGGTTTGTAGCAGAAAGCCTGAAAAAATTCTGCCGAAAGGAAACAAAACCATATTTTAAAAAGATCTGATGCATTTCTTAACTTATTAACAAGAAAAAATTTTATTGGTTTTAATCTAAATCTTGGTATGCAAACCAGTCAAGGTAAAGATAAATTACAGAACAAGTAAAAAGCAATAACATTAAATAATCTATCTAACAACTAACACTGCAAAAGTAAAGAACAAATTCAGAATTTTGTTCCACCCAACCTATAACACTTCAATCTATACGCACGAAAGATAATATGCATATATAATACTTATTTTATATTTCTAAAGTTACCATAAAAAAAAAGAGTGAACAAAGAAACGTACAAAACTTAAAGTGCTTGAAAAAATATATTTACTAATTTCAGATCTAAAGAAGAACTGAAGTTTAAAATCCATAATAATATCCATGCCAAATTTTGACCACTGGTAAAATTAATGACCGTCCATGATCTTTTTTCTACTTTCTAGAAAATCATTTCTTTATAATCAAAATAAAGAAAAGCAGTATAATAATGAAACTAACAGACAAAAGCAGTGTGATAAAAAATAAAATACTGAAAAAACGATTTTGAAAAACACGCTTTTGCATAATACGTAGAGAAAGTGAAGAAAAAAATCTCTTTTTAGAAAAGGGAAAATGAAGCACTTTTTAAAAACACACAATAAAAAAAAGCACCTTTAAGGGCTTTTAAAAAACGAAAATAAGCACCTTTAAACACTTTTTAAAAACACCATGCATGCAGTAATCTCTCCACTGATTAGAAATTGCTCAGTAGTTAACTCAGGTGATTGAAATGTTGAACTAACAGATATTGAAAACTCATTAAAAATGGGAAGAAAATTTGGAATTTATCTCAACATCTGCTAAATTTTCAAATCCATGACAAATTGCAAGAAATTTTAATGACTTACTCTCCGACAAAAATACAATTTACTAATTCTCCCTTAACCACTCTCAATGCCCCTTAGCAGAATTGTGGATACTCTGTTCTTGTTCATCAGTTTCTGTTCTCATTTGGGAATAAAAAAAATGAGGCTTGCTTCAGCTATAATTTTAAATTCATAAAATAAATAAAAAAAATTCTGAAATCACTGAAGTTAATTCATTTTAGAAATGTTGTTCTTCCCTTCAATTTTTGAAAGAACAGTTTATATTTTAGTAAAATGCGAGTAAGTGGGGATTTTGTTACAAATTCAGATATCTGAAACACTGAAATTGGGGGGAGATTTTTCTGCGACCAAAATCCATGACCTAACATTTTTTAAAGTTAAAATCAAGACATTTCATGACAAATTTCGTTAAATACGCTGCATATACAATGGATATGGAAACATATAGGCTAGAAACACTATGATTTAAATTTCTCAGTTTATTGATGAAAACATCAAACTACAGTGAGAAACTATAATAATATAACAATTATTTCTTTACTTCACCTGACAAGTCTTTTTTAAATACTCACCAAATGTAATCCTTTTCACCCATGCGACGTTTCTCCATGATTACTTGAGTGTCATATACGATGAATGCACACATCACCAGTAAACCAATGTAAATCTGAGCCTGGAAATAAAAATTTCTTGTGTGAAAAACAGCATTGCAAATTAAAATCTTAGTTGCAAGGATGAGAGTGGTCAGACAGCAAAAAAAGAGGAAATCCAAGAATACATACATATATAAAAGCTATATCCAAAAATTTGACAAAAGTGTAAAATTGTATGAAAATGAATCACATGCATGATTTTAAAATAGTGTGAATAAGTATTGTAATATTTGATTTTAAATTGAGAACATATAAATCCCGATGTGGCTTTTATATTACGTGAATATAAAACTAGATATAGGATTTCAAAAATGCAAAAATACAAATCATGATGCGTAATTTTTAGATAGCGTAAATGCAAATCAAGATTAATAATTTTCAAATCAGGTGAAAATAAACCCAATGATTAATTTTTAAATCACGTATAAATACGAAAATCGTTGTTAAGTACAACTGCATAAATGAATCACGACATTGGGTTTTTAAATCTCGCAAATAAGGATCGCAAGGTGCAACTTTTTACAACTGCATAACTGACTCACAACATTGAGTTTTAAACTTGTGTGAATACGAAACGCTACACAGGATTTTAAAATCGTGTGAACACAAACTGCGATATAGGTTTTTTAAATTTCGTAAATAAGAATCGAAATGCACGATATTTAAATTGCATAAATAAGAATCGCAAGGCGCAACGGGTAAATACGAAAATCGATGTTTAATGTTAAATTCGTGTGAAGTGAGAAGCTGCGGCGTCTAGATAACGAAAATAGGAGCTATCCGGAATGGCGGGGAAAATCTTAGTTTTTGTGCATAAAAGTGGGATCGCAAGGTATAACTTTTTACAACTGCATAACTGACTCACAACATTGAGTTTTAAACTTGTGTGAATACGAAACGCTACACAGGATTTTAAAATCGTGTGAACACAAACTGCGATATAGGTTTTTTAAATTTCGTAAATAAGAATCGAAATGCACAATATTTAAATTGCATAAATAAGAATCGCAAGGCGCAACGGGTAAATACGAAAATTGATGTTTAATGTTAAATTCGTGTGAAGTGAGAAGCTGCGGCGTCTAGATAACGAAAATAGGAGCTATCCGGAATGGCGGGGAAAATCTTAGTTTTTGTGCATAAAAGTGGGGAAAATAGTTCAAATAAGTAAAAATGCAGAAAGGGTGGCAGCTATGTAGTTTGAATTTTCTGTTCATCTTTAAAAATAAATATAATTACTTTATTTCAGCGGCTGAATTTTCAGAAAAAGCAAAATATTTATTAAAAAACTTTTAAAAAATCAGAGTTTTTGATAGTAAGACTGAAATTCGAAAGTAGAAAAATCCCTGTTGTTGCCGTGTGCATGTCTGGGAGATTGAGTTTAACTGCCTTTAAAGTGAGCAATAAAAAAAACCTCACAACTTTTGACTGATTTACTTACGAATATTGCAGCACTGTAAATACTATATTATGTAAGGTTTACAATAGTATTAATAATAAAATCAATTATAATAATTATAGCATTGTTGATAAATCAAAAAGAAGTGCTGATCCACCATGAAAATGTTCAATTACACCCTAGCAGCAAAATGACTCAGGCCCTCATTCAACTAATATTCAAGAATCTTGGATCAATAAGGGTTCAAAGGGCAGTAATTTTCTAATATTGGCCGTATATAGAATTGTCTGATTCAAACGATATTTTACTGCCACTTTAAAACAAATATCTGCCCTGTATAGAATTGTCAGATTCACTCTATATTTTATATTCATTAATCAGCTAATTTAGGTTCAATATTTGGAAATCTAGACATCCCATTATTAGGTCTTAGATGCATGATGCATTTTGTGCCCGAATTGGGCCAAGGTATGCCTTTATTTAAAAACATAAAAGGGCATATTTTGTGGTTTGTCAAGCCAGAGCTTGCAATCAGGATTATGAATACAATCACAGGGATGGAGCAGCAGCAGGTTAGAGTCTTTATAGAGCAAAATGACTTCTTTGGACCAATAACCATGAATCTTGACTCAATGGGCTGATATTTTCTCGATATGGGCCATATATTATGGTAGATTCACCAGATATTTTACCGCAACTTTAAAACAAATGGAATTGTCATATTCACCAGATATTTATAATCATTATTCACTGCATAGGGCCGATATTAAAAAATCTAGACATCCAAATATTGGTCCCTCGGAGCAAGATATTTAGTACCCATATTTAGCTCAACTGGGGCCGGTGTATAATTGTTTGTTGCTAGGGCAAGTGCTTCGAACATTAGAATTCTGAGCACATAAATAAGAAATTTATTGCATATTTAACAGAGCTTAGAAAAAAATGCATTCAGGGGTAGCAGCAAAGTTTTTTAAAATTTTAGGGTAATTTTAGGAACTTTTTTCAAAAAATTTTAGGTAAATTTTAGGGGTAATATATGATTTTGCTAGGATAAAAACAGATCACACGGTAGTTTATTACATAACAGAAGATTATTACAATTCATCCACACATATCATAAATAATTGCAAGCCATAAAATAAAGCTCTGAAATTTATTAAGTCAAGAATGAAATCTCTAAAGTGTAAAAATGAAATTTCAACTTTACATATTACCTATCAGAAATTAAGTGCATAATTCAGGAACAGGCAAAAGTGAGAATAAATCAAGAGAAAAAATAAATTAACACCAACTTGGATTTTTATTTAATTTTTACCTTCTTAATCAAAACTTTATTATTACCCTTTACCTTACTTTATTAAGAAAAACTATTGTGTGATATTATTAGATTTCAAATCAGCAATTTATATTAGAAGTTAGAGAAAAACAAATTAATCATGATCATTTTTCTAATATATTCTTGATATGATTTGTGAGATTCTTTTACTGCCCTCAATAGTGTTGTGGTGATCTTCAACACTCCTCCATAATTTCGAATGGTATCTTTGATTAGTCTAAGAGACACAATAGTATTCTCATGGTGACTCACATTAAGCATTGCTTTATTTATCGAAAAACCTCTCTCAGGATCAGAATTCCCATGTGGCAAAATAAAAACAGTTTTGATTAATGCAGTTAAATTTTTATATTTTAAATTATTGCTTTTGTCTTTCAAAAGAAACAATTCTCTCCAATATCCATCTACTCGCTTTATTTCAGATAAATCCGATAATTTTTCATGGGCAGTCACGTCAAAAGTAAGAAGTTTCCATTCTTCCCTGACATTATCAATAAATTCATTGGAAAAGTTTAAATAACGAGCTATTCTTGTAATTGCATGGATACCTTTTGAGTTATCATTTGATTCAACTCTTGGCTGAAAAATTTCTAAGTCTTTAAAAAACTGGTCAAAAAAGGGTAAATTTGATTTCAAATAATTAACAGTTTTAATCAATGCAGAACGAGCATTTAGAAGAAAATTATTCTTTTCACTTTGTGCTAATTTACTTAAAAAACCTTTTGCTGACATGCCTATCTCGATCGAAGACGATTTCTTCCAATTTTTACCATTATCAAGTTCAATGTCCCTTAAATCTGTGCCTTCCTTAGCTGCAACAATATCATCTTTAATGAACAGCATCATAACTTGTCTGATTAGCTTATTCATTTCACTAAACAGCAAGTGTATTTTTGGGGATTCGCTTTGAAAACACAACGAAAAGGTTTCAAAGTGCTTATGGGTATAAGCAATAAAAGCTAGAAAGCACAAGGTTGTTGGCTCTTTTAAATTATCACAAATACGTTTATATTTGCTCGAAGAACTTAGTTGCTTAGTGAGCAATTTTTGCTTAGGTAAAAAACATAAAAAATATTCAGAGATATTTGCCCATTGCTCAACTAGCCTCTGAGCTACAGGGCCGGCTGTAAGCCATCTACTATTTACATGTCTCAATAAAAACTGAGCCGTCACTTCCGTTATTTCTTCCATGTGTTTAAAATCCTCCCTGCGTACAGCACTGTTCTTTAGAAAAAAATATATATCATTGGCGAACTCATCAAAGTTGACTTCTAAAGAATTCAGAAAAACTTTAAACGCATTATTTGCCACATGCAAATTGCAGGTGCCAATTGGCAATAACGTATTCGAACCAATTTGATCCGAAAATTTCCTCATGACACTTTTGTTGACATTAGGATTGTCCATTGAAAGACATATTACTTTATTCAATGGAATCTTATAAGTAGACAAAACATCCAAAAGTTCATTTAAAATAATATCTGCCGTAGCATGGCCTAAAAATACACTTTTTAAATATCGACATAATACCAAATTAAAGTCGGTAGACCAATATCTGGCATATACATCTAGTTGCCGCTTGTTCTGTACATTTGTACTCTCATCAAATGCTAATGTTATTTTTGTTGCACTGTCAATATCCTTCATTAAAAGATCTTCAAAATATTTAGATACACCATGGTTTAAAACATAGGCAGTTTTTTTCTCTTTAAGTTGCATTGCCGACGCTATGGGAGAATCTGGAAACATTACCTTAAATAAATCCACTGTATCCGTACAAGATTTAAAAGAAATATTTTTTTTAGCCACATGTAAACACCATAAAGTTTCAGCTTTCAAAATTTGACTTTGCTGGCTAAGAACAGCTGTATCACTGCTTTTATTTTGCACCCAATTGAATATTGTTGATTGACCATTTCCTTTAAATCTTTCATCAAATTTCCGATGATGTTTTTTCCCTTTATGATGCGATCGTACTTGTGCGAATCCACTTCCAGATACTTCGAATGTTTCACAGCATAAACTACATTTCGCGGAATAGTCATTTCCAGTCACAGATTCCAACCATTCTTTAAGCAAAACACCATCTAGTTCTTTTTCAAACCAATCCGTCTGGAATTTTGTTCGTCCTTTTCCCATAGCATCAATTTATAAATAACAAATCAACCAAGATGGCGAAGGATTTCAGAACCACACTGAACAAAAAGAGAGACAGGTGGAGAGGGGGGAGAGGAGAGGCCCGTGACGTCTTAGGAGTGAAAATAACCGCGTGATAAAAAAAACCAATCACTCGCCTGAATGTCGTCACACCGCCGGTCGTCGTCTTTCTTCCCCATCCGCCGTCTCCTCCCACCCTCCTCTCCTTGCAGAGAAGCGATGAGGTAAACAAATTCGGTACAAAAAGAAAGAGGCGCGGCATTTTCGTTTTCTCTGTGATTTATTCCTATAACTCAAATTTTTTTAGGAACACCAACAAAATTTTAGCAGATTTTTAGGAATTTTAGGGTTTGTACATAGTTTTAGGAATTTTATGAATTTTAGGGGGAATGCGACCCCTGTGCATTATTAAATAAAAAATATGTAATAGAAGTGCAACAAAGAAACACTTAATTAAACAAAGACATTCATTATTGCAGCCTTATACACTAGTTATCAGAAATTTAAGAAAAATCACAAAAATAACCATTACTCCAAAAGTTACATGGATTTTAGTGGCACTCACAGTGCACATAATTTATAAAGTAGCAGTGTAAAATTATTATCTGACAATTATGCCACAGAAATTAGCATATGTATGAAATGAATAAATCAGATGTGTAGGTCTGGAATAGAAAAAGTACCTTCAGCATGAAGAATGCTCACCGCTAGTAGCAACACAGAATTAAATTGAATATAGGATTTAATGGCACAAAGTCCAAAAGAGAATATGCTGCACCAAACAATATGATAAAATAGATCAAAATTAAAGTGCATGTTATACTTAAATTGTGAAATCAAATTTGATAAAATGGTATTATGACAGTGAATAAAATCAGACAAAATGTATGTACATAATATATAATAAACGGATTATCTAAAAAGGTACGAATATGGTAAAATATTTGTAAAAGTGAATTAAATTGAGAATGCATTAAAACTGTTATATGCAGTTCAAAATATTAAAGGCACGCAAAAATGTTAGGATGATATGAATGTCATTCAATAAATCCTGTAAACTCTCTTATTTCAGAAGTATTTTTAAATCTTTTTAAAGCTGTTAAAAAACAGGTCACATTGGAATAAGTCTAAATTTAATAAAATTAGAGAATTGTTAGCCGATCTATACGTTTCTAAAAAGTTTGCATGAATGGAATGGTCAATGATCCTCCTAGTTTTGCAAATTATTTTGAATGCATCACTTTTCCTACTTGTGCAATGAAAAGAGCATGAAAACTTACCTTAAATAAAATATATGAGCCCATAAAGATGTTTAAGATACCTCCAATCATCAGCACAGATAACAAAGACATCAATGTTCCTATAGAAGACACATTAAAAAAAAAATGTAGTTCAAATCAGGGTTGGCAAGATTTTGCCGCTGGTGGAAAAAACAGGTTTTTGCCAAGCAGAGTGGCAAAAACCTACATTTTCCAAGATGAGAGGTCAAAAACAGATTTTTAATACAAAATTATTCCTAAAATTGAAATATATATAATTAAAAAATATTTACAAAATTATTATTCCATATTTAAATCATAATGTATTAATACATCATTTTAGTAGTTTAAAACATTATTGATTGGAAAATTTGTGATTATTCTCTTTTTTCCAGTGAAAACAACTTATTTTAAATTAATATAACTATAATTTAAAGCATAAAATATCGATCAACATTTTGAAGTAATATTGAGAAACGAGGTGATTATCAAAATCTATCTAATAAAACATCCATCTTAGTTTTCTTATGTCTCTCGTAAATATAGTGTAAGAATGATATAATGTAAAATAATACATATCAAAAATAATTATGAAGAAGCAACAAAAAAAAAAAAATACAATTTGTAAAAAAATGTTTATTTAAGGATTCTAAAAAAAAAAGACTTTCAATCTTTTAAAAATTATTACCCTTATATTAATTATTAATACTATAAAAATAATTTTCTCATGTAATGCATCAAAATTATTATTCCTTATGATTGATTTAAATTTGTTTCAAGTATTTTGTAATAATATTTAATCAGCAATTTAGATTAATTTGGTTTTTGCTGGTTTTTACCACTGTCCTGGCAAAAAACCCTTTTTGTCAGCAAAAACTCCAAACCTGGTTCAAATAGTATTAAGAAAATATCTGAGTCATACAGATCTTAAAAAGATCAAACACATCAATAAAATAATACGAGTAATCCTTTGCGATAAAACAATGTTTGAATAAAAATGTTCGCAAAAATTATAAAATTTATTAAAACCAGTCTGTCTAGGTTTTTCCGAGAGGTACCATTTTGTGAAAATTTAGACACAATTTGTGAAAATTAATAATTAGATTAAAAAAAATTAACACATAAATATAGTAAAGTAAGAATATATTTTCAAAAATTGTCACTACAAATAAAAATTATTTAGCTAGTAAAATTCTATTTATTTTTCCCCATTTATTCAAAACCAATTTTGCTATTTATGGCTTAAAATTGTATCCAAATTTAAAAATAAAAAAAATTATTGTCCATAGTTCAACTTGAATTTAATAAAAACATACATTTAACAGTACTAGAACTAAAAGTTATTTTCATTATGAGAACATTTCCCACTTATTCATATAAAAAATAGTTTCATAAAAAAATAAAGGTCTGTTAGAATAAATTTAGAACTATGTTAGACTTCCTGTAAAGTTACAGCACTTAATAATTTTTGTAATAATGAATATGCATATACACCATTTAAAAACAGGATTCAAAATAATTTTAAGAATCTTGAATTTCGGAAGGACTGTACAGAGAAAAATATGTAAACATATAGATATTGTACCTCCAAGATATATGAATCTGCGCTGGTCTCCAAAGACAGAAGCAAGAGAAAAACATGTGAAGATCAGACATGTTGCAAAGAATGCAGTTGGAATGATTGCGGGATCAACAGAAATAACAGCCTCCAAAAGAGGACCCAATCCAAGACCTAAAAACAGAAAAAATAAATTTATAAGAATTTCTTTAAGGATGTCTGCACCGTTGCAAACTTCATTCAACAAATTATTTTTAAATTCTATTAACTTTTAAAACAATTTTGAGTAATTTGTTGTTCATTTACGTCACACTAGAGCTGCAAAATGGGCTATTGGGTACGGAAACATCCCCGAGGATGATCCGAAGACATGCCACCACAATTTTGATCCTCTGTAGAGCTGATCATACCTCGGATTGGTAACTGACGGCCTGCTCTTGAAGTAGAGTAATTCACCGTAGAACAGCTTAGCGTGGGACCAATATTGCACATTCTCTTACATAGACTGATCCAAGTGGTCACCCACCCACATATTGACCGCAGCCAGTGATGCTTGACTTTGGTGATCTGCTGGAAACAGTGTCTTAATGATCAGTCCACTGCGGTACTTGAACAACGTGCATTATGTGTTTATGAAGTTACTTTTTTTAACTTATAAGTTTATAGATTTTTTATATTTTCAACAATAAGGAAATATATAATAGGAAATATGGTTAAAAAATGTTTTTTCAGGAGAAATGAAAAGACTCTGCTCTAAAATTGTTCTGTGATTTCTCGTTTTGTTCACAGGTGGCTGCTACAAGTGGAAATTACTGAACCATGATTTGGGGAGCACCAACAATGTTTTATGGTAACTGTAAATAAAAGAATGATCCCTTTTCTGTAATTTTGAATTTCAATAATCACAGAAAAAGCGGTCACATATAGAAAGTCATCAATCATCATTTACTGAAAGGACGGAATTAAGATGTTACGTTTTTACACAGTCTAAGAATACCATTTTTAAAATCTGAGTAATGTTTAAGTAGGTTTAGTGATAAAGGTTAAATAAATTGAATATTAAAGTCATTCAACTATTATGAAAAAGTTACTTTCCATTGGAAAATTATTTCCAGAACATCTCGATCATCAGCATCTGAAAAGTTAGGTTACTTTCGAACACTTTTTTTAATATCTTCCTTAAACTACAATTTTGATATATATATATATATATATATATATATATATATATATATATAAAAAGATTAATTTGAGCCTTTTATGTTACATATGTATTTTAAATATTTTATAATAATAATAAAAGGTTATTAAAGTTTTAATATAGATTGTATTTGTAACATCAGTCACTAGACTTCACTTGTTCATTGTTTTTTATAGTTTATGTATTATGCAAGTAGCCGATAGTTGGTCAACCTGCTGTGCAAGTGAACAGTTGCACACCCTTAATATTAGGGATACAAAAGAAAATTCTCTTATTCTCAAAGTTTATTTACTATGAATTCTTTTTTAAAAGCAAATGCCTTTGTAAATACACAGTGAGAAATAAAATTTTATTTACTTAAAGCTGATTTTGATATTGTGCTTACTGTTACAAAGAATGAAAACAAGTAAAAAAAACAAAAGAAAAAAAACATTTGCGTCAACGAGTCACTCGCAAATGTATGGAGCAAAAACTATTGTTCAGTTCGAAAATTCCAGAAATGAATTTAATAAATCTTTCTATAGATTATTTCATCATCAGATGCTGTTATTGACAACTGATAAGGATAAACCAGATGTTCTCATCTCACAAATGTCACAGTTAACCGCTGTTGATGCATTTTGTCAAGCCTCTTTAAAATATTGTGAACAAGGCTGGCACTGTAAAAAAAAATTTAAGACTGAACTTATTATTTGTCCAATTAACAGGATCTAAGATCTAACATTGTACCAGAATTTTCAGGAATTTATTGTTCACTGGTTCCAAAATGTATCTTTCCATAATAATGGCACATATATTAACTCAATGATTTGATAATTCTTTTTTCATTTTGATAATTTATTTTTTCACTGCAAACAAGAATATAATAATTAATAGTTAACCTTGTAGATCTTTTTACACCAATCACTGCTGGATAGTAAATCACAAATTTTTTCATAAAGCTTATCTTATGTCTACTTTTTTTTCTTTTTTTTTGCTTCATAATTATTTTTTTCCTTGTCCTATCTCTATACATGTATCTTAAAAAATAATCTCAACTTTGTTCAGCATTTCACAGGGTTAGGGAAAAATGAAAACAAATTTAGATACAACAATACTACAAATTTTGTTTAAGCAAGTAGGAGCTGAAGTTCAATCAATCCCATCCTTTTATTGTTGTGAAACATCATTACTAGAACACTTTGCAATAATTATGAAAAATAACAATGTTTTCATTAAAATGTAATATTTGCATAAAATAAATAGAAAGTATTTGTATGACATTAACATTTTTAAGGAAAAAAGAAAATTTTAATTTAAAGAAAAAATTGAAAAGTGATTAATTGATGAAATTTAATCTCATGATTTTTTTCTCAAGACTGATTTCAGTTTTCAGGACTGAAGAGTGACACCCATGATTGTGAAGGAGCTTAAAAATCAAGATTCATAATAACATATTTAATGGTTTGTTAGCTATTAATGGTACAGAAATAAAATATATACAGAGTATCAAAAAAATTTTATTTATCCTTTTCATACCTAATGACTATTAAAAAAAAAACTACTACAAATATATGTAGGTGGTAGATACTATTATTAAGTAGATACTAAGGATACTTTTAAAACTAATAAAGCAATTAAAAACAAATTGCATCCACTCATAAAACCAGTTTACCCAAAGATAATTTCATGCAAAAAATACATTTTTTTATAATTATAATCTAAAGTTTCAACTGTTTTTATTTAATAGGAGCCATAAAAAGTTTTAATGAAAATAATTTGATGTGGCAATGAAGAAATATTAAAATGAAGCCATTAATATGTAAATGTGGTTAACTTACGATTCATATTTTTTCGCTAATATCCGATTGCTAATCTTAATTTTTTTTAAATTATAAAATGTTGTTTCCATTTTAGTCTCCTAAAACTTTATTTGTAATCTAGTAAAAAAATTTCAATGAAACAACTTATTGAATAAAAAACATATTATTCAATGCATGTAGAGGTTTATGTTTCTGATAGAATGTGATCATACATCAGCTTTGTTTCATTTTATTTTTCAGTTTGTTCTTTTAATAACTGATAACAAGACAAGAGTGAAACAGAGAATGAATTCCTTGTAAGTGCAACCTCGGCTATATTGTATAAACCAGGTGGGTTTTAAGTTTTAGACTAACGAAACACGGCCTTTTCAAGAATGCAATAAAGTTATTGTTGCATATTCTTTGCATCTCGGGGATAAATTAAATCTCAATAATACCAAAATTCTAACCACCCCTGTCATATCAGCTCATCTTTATACCCAGGAAACTTGTTTTATTCCGATGAATGCAGATTCCCTTGTTACCGATATTAGTTTTGCACTATTCCTCTATGGCACATGGAAATGCATTTTACCCTCATTTGCCTATCCTGGCTGTTGAGACAATTAATAGTTAGCTCTAATTAATTAGCATGTTTAAAGTCATATCCAGAAACCATTAAGATTCACACTTAGGACGTGAAAATCCGATCGTTAGAATGAAAATTATTCAGGGTTACACTACATAACAAGTTCTATAAAGGCAAAGTTCAATACATACTTCTTTAAAATGCAGAAGAGTTTGCAGCTTTGCCAAACATACCAGGATTTTATCCTTTGACAAAAAGACAGAGGAAAACTAAACTGGGCAGAATATTTACAAATAATCTTAAGTTGGGGGGGGGGGAATCAACTATCTATCTTTTAAAATTTTGAAACACATTTGAAGAAAAGTCATTTATTTTAAGTTTACTAACAATTATTGAAAACACAGTCACTTACTTACCAGAAAGGAAAGCAAATCCTAAAAGCAATCCTAATCTAGTGGTAGTATTTTTCCCATCATCTCTTGTACTCATTAAAGCCATCATACATCCAAATGAGCCAATGGCACTCAAAAAACCACCCTAGAAAAGATTAAATATTTAAATAAAGGCACATTAAAGAAATAAAATAACAGATTTTAATATAGATATTTTTTAGGCTATGCGTAAAGTTTTGATATATCACGCATAATCAAGTAAGTCAAAATATATACAGTAACACCTCGCTACAATATTTTGGGGACCCAATAAATATAGTGTTGTAGAGGGATATATGGCAGGGCCTACATACTTTGGGGACACAATAAGATTTTTTCTTAATTTTAATGTTATATATGTATTAACTATAAATCAAATTATATAGTATGCAAAAAATTTACTTGCCGAGTGCAAATTATGGTTAAATATTAAAAACAATTGTAACAAATTCAGAAAATAAGATCATACTATGCCTGAAAACCGTTTTTATTCAAAATAATCGTATATTTTTGTTTGTACCAACAAAGCATGAAAATTATTTTAGTTTGTGAATGGTGCTCCACCCACAGAAAGAAATTCTCTTTTAGGTGTGATGCTAGTGGTGACTTATGATCAGCTTTTAACATGAAGGAAATGAAATCGGAAAGGAATGTTCTTAAGAGATTAGGGATTTTAAAAATGGAAGCTCTTGGGGTAGTCTTCTTTTGGCAGAAAAATAGAGAAAATAAGGATTACATTTGGGAAAAAAAAATCATTTTACACGGGTTCATTGCTTCAAAGAATATCGTAATATTGAGAGGAGAATGACATTAATTCATATGCAAGTTCCTCGGGACCACAAAACATTTTCGTAATAAAGGGAGTTATTGTTGTATTGGATATCGTAGTAGCGAGAGTTCACTGTATATATAAATCTAAAGAAGATTTTTTTAAAACCATTCTTTATAATTACTTAAACAATTTTACTTTATAACTGTCGTTGAACAGTCGACCCAATTTTCAGTTTTTACATAGCCTTGTAATTTTGAACCCAATCCAGAAGACAAGGGAACTCCTGGATCAAGTAGTGGGACAATTTTGCCTTCGTGGACAACTTTTTGATGAAACAAACCCACATTTGAGTTACATGAATAGGAAAAGAACGAAAATATCAAATGGTTAGCTTGATGACAAGGGGACTCAAACCTGTGATCGGTCTACCACTAAGGATATTTAAGCGAGCGCTGTGGTAGGTGTAAGCTGAAATGTGGAATTTGTATCACCAGTTGTTGCTGAGATTCAAATTCAGTTCACGTCTTTCGAAGGTGAAGGTCCACATAAATCAGTGTTTCCCAAACTTATGACTTTTGTGTACCCCTTCTAAATTTTTTCGCAACGCTGTGTACCACTGATAAAAAAATGAATGCATTTTTTACTATAAAAAAAATTGCACAAAAGTTAAAAATCACTACTGGCTATTGACACCACTAAATATTAACTGTTAACTCTCCAAAAAAATAGCCAATAGAAAAATACGTAATCGTAAATTTTCATGGCTAGCATGGCTTTAAAATTTTAGTTTGTTGCAAGATATTTCACATAAGAACACGTACCCCCTCTAAACTGTTCCCGTACCCCTGGGAGTATGCGTACCACACTTTGGGAAACACTGATTTAAACTATTAACATGCAACATACTGCAGTACTGGTAATGGCACCATCGGTTGAGAAAAATAAAAGCATTTTTGCCATCAATGGATAAATTAGCAACCAATTTATTTTTTTTAAAATTTCTTCAACAAATACAGTAGAACTTCAATTATCCGAATCAATTGGGACCAGACCCCATTCGGATAATCAAAAATTCGGATAATTGGATTTTTTTTTAAAAAATGCTTATTTTAAATAATTACTGTATGTATAGTGGAAATGAGGGAAAAGAACTGTTTTCAAGGAAAGAGATATTTTCATGAATGTGTACATACCTTGCAGTAAATGAAAGTTATTACATGCTAAACATCTCAGTTATAGTAAACTGTTTAACTGTCTTCATCTGTTTTCGGGCAGCTAAATCGAGCATCCGTTTGACGGTGAGAAGTTGTATATGGTCACACTCGGGTTGGTGCTCCATCCACTTCAATGCAGTTTCAAGGCCAGCAAATGCTTCACTAGCTGACGGCCGGATCAAACCGAGGACCTTCGGCTTTATAGAAGCGAATTCTACCCCTGAGCTACTGAGACTCGACAATATTACATCATCACTCATCGCATAATATTTTAAGATAGTTGCATCATCCTGTTCGTCATTAAGAGGCGCCATCCAGTCCCGAAGGGAAACTCCCGAATTTATAATTAACTCTTAACTTAATACCTTAGAACACTCCAATTCTTAGACACATGCATTCCGGAGACCACTGCGCGAAGAGAGCTCTCACGAGTCATGTCAATAATGTTAAGCCTATCCTTCTATCCTTTTTATTTCTATTAAATTTTGGTGCTCCATCCAATTCAAGGCCAGCAAATGCTTTACTAGCTGACGGGTCTGTGTCTGCCTCAATATCCGCATTAGGGTCATCTTCTTCATCGACACTTTCCTCCATCACACTTTCAATAAGTTCATTTAAAATTTGAAATCCACAGTCTGATGAATCACACGTCATCCACTCTCCTATATCTTCAGCACTGACATCTGAACATTCAGGAATTTTCAAAAATATGTTTCTGAATTCCTCAAGACATCCTCATCTTCTGTCTCTTCCCTTTTTTTCTTTAACTTCTTTTTCCCTTCTCTTCTTTAGTTGATACGCCTTTTAACTTGTTCCATGCAAGTCTTAATGAGACATCTTTAGCCAAATACCAAGCTTCCGCAACCATGTACATGCAATCTTTCAAATTTATCTTTTCGTAGTTATCCAACACACCTTCTTCCTCCTTTCCCTCTACTAAAAGATTCCTTAAAAGCTGTCTTTGGTAAAGACGCTTCATTGTTTCAATAACAGATTGGTTTATTGGTTGCAACAAGCTTGTTACGTTAGGTGGCAAAAAGATTGTTTTAAATTGGCCATTTCCTCTTTCCAACAATTCTTCTGTGGGATGAGTTGGTGCATTATCAACAATCAAAAGCACAGGACTTCCTTCTTTTCCAACAGATTTTTGACGTTTTTTCACTTCAGGAATGAAAATTTCATTGTACCACTCTGTAAACAGTGCTGCTGTCATCCAAGCTTTGCATCGGTTTTTATAAAATAGGGGAAGTTTTTTCACATTTTTAAATGCTCTTGGGCGTTTTGACTTCCCCATTAACAGAAGGGGTATTTTATGGCTCCCAGTAGAATTTGCGAAGCTAAGCACAGTAACGCGGTCTTTACTAGCTTTATGCCCTGGAGCACTGAACTCACTTTTAGAGGCTAAAGTGGTTTTGGGTAAAGCTTTCCATATTAGACCAGTCTTATCGGCGTTGTATAAGAAGTCTTGCCATAACTTTAAATTTTTCAATTAACTCTTCAGCAGCTTTGGAGCATGCAGATAACTTTTCACCACTTAAATCTAGTTAACGAATACCGTGCCTAGACTTAAAATTCCTGAGCCAGCCGTTACTTGCTTTGAAAGATAAATAACCCAGCTTTTCAGCTAAGATCTTAGCTTTTCACAAAGAATGGGACCTGAAATTGGGTTCTCTAAAGAATGTTGCGGTAAAAACCACATAAAAACGGCACTTTCCAAATCTTTGTTTGTGGCGGCCTTCATTGATTTTCTCAAAGAACATCCATCCTCATTTTCAAGAACTGACACAAAATTTATTAGAGTAGATTTGCTCTTTTTAATGTCAGAAATTGTAGCTTGTCCAACACCATATATCTCAGTCAACTGTTTGCCTGTAACTCCTTTATTCGACTGTTCTATGTTTTTAGCATATCCGCTAAGGATAACACAACACGTTTTCATTTAGAAGCCATATTAAATACCGGAGTGAACTTAAAAATAAAACATATAACGTGCGAGTATACCAACACAGTTGCGATAACAGACCAGACTGACTCAAAACAAACAGTGGTGAATAGGCTGTACCGCCCACCTGGTGAAGGACCACATCCAATAAAAAGCCGACTATCCACGTGTTTTGCGTTGAACATCGATTTTTCTTTCAACCCCTCAGGAATTTCGACTTTCCCAACAATCGTCCTCTCACACCAGCAAAAAGTCTAATTTTAATTGCTTCCTTGACTTCTCTCCCCCCACCAATCCACTGGGCGAACTGACAAGTGCCAATTGGCACAAGCAAGCTGACCAGGGGGTCTAGCATTCACATTTCTTTCTCAACAAACTAATTCCTAAGATAACATTCCACAACTAACATCCTTATTCATATGGTCTCCCGTGTGCTCTTTTGCCACTGGATTCCCCCTCCTTTGTTATTCCTTTTATTTATCTTTGTCCTATCCTGCAAACTTTCTCTGCATAAATCTTTCCTTGGCTTTACTAACATTTTATTTTATTCATTTAAAAAAAGAAAAAAGAGAAAAACTTATCTTTTTACTATATTTCCATAGGAATTCTGATTCGGATAGTTGGAGTTCTACTGTACTGAGAAATTTGAGAATATACGGATCAGGAGATAATCGTAAAATACAGAGTCTTCGTTAAAAAGCAGGAGACTTGGCAGGTATGCAGGCATAAAAGTGGGGAAAGAAAAAAGTTTGAAAATATCTAGATCTAGTTCAATCGTGGAAGAAAAAAACCATGAAACTATTTGTACAAAAAGAAAACATTTAAATTATTTACGTACATTAAAAGATTTAACATAGCATTTTTTTTTATTATTTTCTCTCTGGAAAATTTCATTGCAGTTTTCAATAAATACAAATATTCTGGTCAACAATTTACATGTCACCCATTAGGCAAAATTTTTTCACCTATATGAAAAATTCTATTTTCAGAGGATAACATAAAATTCAAAACAAACATTTTTTAAGGAAACAAGGTGTCCTTTTAAAGGTAAAAAATTGAAGATTTATAAAGATTAATAAATTCATTTTCCAATTAGTTACAGGCTGTTGAATGAAGATCATAAAGCACAACTCTCAAGAAACACCACAATATTTATTATTTGTAATTGAGATAAATAA